GAAAAAGTTCCACAATTATGTCAGGCGGCGAAACGGGCGGCGAACGGGCGGCAAGCGGGCGGCTCACCGCCCGCCCGGATGGAAACCCTACTGGAATAATCCCGCCAAGGATAAAAAAATCGGAAAATTTGAAAAGAGGTGTATGGATCATGAAAACATGCGAATTTTCTTCAGAAATTTTTTTTCCAAAAACTTGGTTAATTTGTATTTGACAAGATGCCAAAGGTGTTTAGAGTATGGAAAACTGCTGAAAACAGCTTTTGAGCTCAAAAACAGGTCATATAAAAAACCAACAAAAAATAAAAAAAGAGTTTCGACTATGAAGGAGTCGAACCATAGAGTACCATTTCCCCGTCCCGCCGCTTTACCACTGAACCATCCCACTGCTGTTTTCAATGGTTCTTCAAAGCGTATAAAAGAAATGAGGACGTGGAAGCGTTCACGTATGCATTTCAGTGCAAAATCTACTGAAAACTTCTGACCCAAATTTCTCGAGTTAGCGGAGGCCGCCGCAAAAACTGAGCATATATTTGAAAATGAAATTTCATCCTCTTTCGAATGATATAGGTCTCGTCCCATAACTCCACATCTTCTGTGAGTCATTCCCTAGTGAGCTACGCGAGCAAAGAGAAAGCGCACGCCCGATTGCATACATAAAGGCGAGGACGACAGCTGTACGCAGAGTGACATTAAGCGTTGTACACCGTGACGGTAGAATGCATACTCTAGCTACAAAAAAAACTACGAAAAATCTCCTGTCCCCCCACCTTTAAGGGTACACTGATCCTAAAAGCTTCAGATGTGCAACTGAAGACGTTGAACAGCTGAAATATAAATTTAGTATAAGCACAGTGATTTCTTGGTAAAATGAATCTTATGACAGGTGACATTTGAGCCTCAAAATGTGTTTTGTCATCGTACATATTAGCCTCTGCAATAAAATGAAATACTTTTAGATTGGCTTCTGGGAGCCAGCCACTAACGTGCATGTGAATATGTCCGGGGACTCCAAGGCTCAACTTCAACGGAACGTTCAAGTATCCGATGAACTAAAACCCCATTTCCGTGTCACCACAATTATGGAAAGACCTTATGTGATGCTCAAAAAGAACCATTATGAGCTTGACTCGAATTCCAAGTTCGAAGGATTTTGTATAGATCTACTCGCCGAGTTATCCAAGGATCTAGGATTCACCTATACTATTCATGCGGTTAAAGATGGAAAATATGGGAATGACAAGTATGGAAATGGGTCGTGGGATGGAATGATTGGAGAGATTCTTCGTGGTGAAGCTGAAATGGCAGTGGCTCCATTGACCGTGAATTATAGAAGATCTGAGGCTGTAGACTTTACGAAACCCTTTTTATCTCTTGGAATTAGTATACTTTATAAAGTTCCTGATGATCAACAACCCGATTTGTTCTCGTTTTTAAACCCGTTATCCTGGCAAATTTGGACAGCAATCGCAACTTCTATCAGTGAGTCATGAATCAATTTATAAGGGACCATTGATGAATTTCAGTTACCGTAACACTTGGAATGTACTTTGTCGCCAATGTCACTCCATACGAATGGAATTTGAATTTTTCTTGCTGTACTGCCCATGAACCTCATCCAGCAGCAGCCTTCGCTACAAGTATAATCTCATCTAGCTTAAAATGTGGCCTAACTAATAATCTCATTTTCTAGGCCAGGAAGCTCCAATCGTAATGTCCAACAACTATAGTTTTTGGAATACAGTATGGTACGTGTTGAGTACAATGTTAAAAGGTGGATGTGACTTTGGACCGAGAGCGGTTTCCACTAGACTTCTTGGAGGTAAGCTCAATCTTTTTTTTCTCATAATTTCCTTATGTTTAGGTACCTGGTGGGTATTCTATCTCGTTATTATATCCGCCTACACCGCTAACTTGGCTGCCGTTCTGACCGTATCCCGTCCCTACATCCCTATTAAGAACCTGGACGATTTGGCAAACCAAACCACAATATCGTATGGAACGATTCGAGGTGGATCCACGATGCAATTCTTTCAAGAGTCTCGAATTGCGGCACATGTGAAGATGTGGGAGTATATGAAGGATAAGGATGTGTTTGTCACCAGCAACGGAAAAGGTGTCGAGAGAGCGTTGAGCATGAACTATGCATATTTAATGGAGTCCACATCATTGGAATATGAGACACAGCAGAATTGTAATCTCACACAAATTGGTGGTGTTCTAGGCTCCAAGGGTTATGGAATAGCATTGGCTAAAAGTAAGTGATTCTTTCTTTTCTTTTTTTTTTCATTTCAAAAGCAATCAAATTCAGAATCCGACTGGACCGACAGAATCTCTCGTCAAATTCTCCTCTACGCCAAACGCGGAATAATTGAAATGAAAAAGACCAAGTGGTGGAGAAGCAAGTATGTTTTGCTTTCTCTTCTCCTTCTTTCCAAAGCAATCTCATTGATTATGAGCATTTCAGAGGAGCGGCATGTACGAGCACCGCGTCGGCTGTCAAGCATGACCGATTCGCACTCAGCATGTACAATGTGGCCGGACTCTTCATAACTTTGGGGGTCGGAATTGTTTTGGCGGTGATTGTGGTCATATTTGAGCTCTTGTATCGGTGTCATCACATTTCGAAGAAAGAGGGAAAACCGTTCCTGGAGGAATTGTGCTATGAATTGAAGTTTGCAATGAACATGACCTCGGTGGGTGACAAACCTTGAGCATATATATCTCATTTACTGTAAAAGATATCGAAAATGTTTAGCTGATAAAATTCTTATCATAATATCAAAAACATTTTATCACTTGACAAATTTCTGATATCTTTCACAGAAACCGAGATAAACTGCTTAAAATTGAGCGAAATTTTTTTAGCTCTCCGATCACCGATCTCGCCAGAAAATGTCTATGTGTATGAACAACGGAAATGGGAAACCAAACCATTTGAATGAGAATGGAAGTTTGAAAAAGACAACTTTGTAAATATCCCGGTTCGAAATAAATTGTTTCATTTTTGCTCCATTTTTTTCTAAAAACATGAAAAACAGGTGTCTCTCAAAAATCGGCAAATAGCTGAAAAACTATGAATTTTCCGAAAATTCTGTAAATGCCAAATTTTCAATATAGGTCTGTTTTAAACCCTCCAAATGTTCAAAGTGGTAGAAAACTTGACAGCTGAGCTCCAGACTCCTGAAAATGGCTGAAAATCAACAGAAAAATAGGTTTTTGTATATTTCAATGAAGGGAACTGTAGTTGACTGTAGTTACAGGAGATCCAGGTTATTAGATCTTCCGTTCACTGTAACGTGTTGTCACTAATCTCAAAAAAATAGTTAAGTTCTCTTTTTGGAAATCAGCTTTTTTCCTCATCCACTCGAAAAAAAATTATCATTATTTTTCAGTTATTCCCGATTTCTATTCTTCAGATTACACGCGAATCGGAAAGAAAATTTCTCTATGGTGAGCAATCCTTTGTAGATCCTTTCAACTCTTGACGTCTTCAGTACGCTCTCTACATCATTATCGGAGTATCAGTTGTTATAGTTTTCATCGCAATTACCATATGCGTGTATTGTAGTGAGTTTCTTTTTTTAATAGAAAGGCCCCCACTGAATTATCTGATTTTCTATGCAAAATATCAAAAATGTGTCAATTGATAAAATAATTCTGGGATTGTGATAAACAGTTTATCAGTTGACAACTTTTTCATATCTTTCACAGGATCCGAGATAAATTGATTCAAAGTTAAAAGTTGGATTTCCAGAGTGTTGCCGCCAATATGATGATCTGGAAGAGGGGATTGTCTCCGATTCGTCGGGTCGAAAAGTGAAGAGCCAGGATTCCGAAGCTGTCGTTTCATCTGCACCTGTTGCCGATCCTGATCCAGTCGCCACCGATTTAAAATCTCCTCTGAACCATCCTCAAGTCAGCTCTCCATCCTTTCCACAATCTCCACCAATAGCGATGGTCACACCTCCATACTACGAGCCAAAGAAGGAATTCAAAAAGTGTCACCGATCGGTTTGTGACGAATCGAATCCTAACCACTCCCGCCTATGCCCTCGACATCTACCGTATACCGAATACGTTCATCAGACTGAATTCAAAAAATCGCATAGATCTGTGAGAAAGAAGAGTGAGAGATCTCAAAAGAACCGGAGTGACGAAGACAACTCGACACCACCCGATTCTCAATATTCCACCAAGTCCAAAAAGTCTTCTAAGACGTCGATGAAGAGCTCCAGAAGATCAGACCGCAGTTCAAAAATGGAACGGACTCAAACAGAAGAAGACACAGTGAAAACGGATAAAAGTTCGAAGCGTTCCAAAACTGTGTACACTGATAACACAGAAACCAGCAAAGTCAGCAAAGTCTCCAGCCGAAAGTGAACTTTTTTTGAGTTGTCAATAAGATTATTTTTTGATTATTTTTTCAAAAGCAAACGTGTCTTCTCAATTGTACCGAATTTCTAAAGAAAGGGTTTCTGGAGTGATTAAAAAACTATAACTCTCTTATTTCTCTCCCACGATTTCTAAAAGATGCCTGTCGTATATCGTCGTGGTGGATACTATCATGGAGGTTATTACCACCGTCCTTACTATTATCATCGTCCGGTCATCGTGGCGAGACCAGCCGTAGTCGTCGCACCGTATCCACATTATGCTTGGGTAGGTTCTAGCCAATGTATCGTTATGGCCTAACTTTTGCAAGTTGGGGTTTCTAGGCCACCATGGTAAAATAGCCATAGAACTTGCCTTAAATGCTCCAGATGTGTCTTCTAGGTCATTTTAACACGGTGGCCTAACTTTTGCAAGTTGGGTTTTCTAGGCCACCATGGTAACATGACCTAGAAAACACAACAGGTTTGTTAAGCACTTTCAAGGTTAATTCACCAAGCCTAGAAAAGGCCTAGAAAAATCAATGTGCAAATGTTAGGCCACCAACTGAAAATGACTTAGAGAATACACAAGATAAATATCTGACCAATTATATGTCATTTTACCATGGTGGCCTAGAAAACCGAACATGCAAAAACTAGGCCACC